GTAGGTTTTGTTCTTTTTGTCTTTGGTGTGGCGTGAGGTGCCTGCCCCTGGTTCGTTTTCTAGCAGGTTTGTGGGAGGCGGGTATCCGGTGTTTTTTTGTTTTTTTGTTTTTCTCCCTTGTGTCTTTTAAGTTCTTACCCGTGCCCCTTGGCCGTGCCGTGCCGGTCTCTGTTCTCTTAAGTCTTTTTTCTTTTTTTGCTTTTGACTTTTTAAGCCGTTTTCTTGTTTCTTAATGAGGCGTTGACTGGGCGAGAGTCAGCTTCCGTGCAAGTGTCGCACTGTGGGACTGGACCCGGTGACGGCAGAATCATGCCAGGAGCCGAAGGCCGACGCCGAACCGATCATCCCCAGTCTTTTGAGATCTTGAGGTTCTTTGGCACTAAGCCGGTTGTGGGGCTTGACACGAACTGACCTCCTGCTTTTTCCTGCTAGGCTATGCCCAGGAGTTTCACTTTTCTAGGAACCTGATTGCTTGAGGGACCAACAGACAGCTCTTCTCTCCCTTACTACCTCTCTCTGTCTGGTTTAAGTAGTTGACCTCTCTAAAACCTTTTTCAGGCTTAGAAGCAAATGTGTGATGGAGGAGTGCAGACACGTGACACATCTGCTCCTTAATCCTGCTTTTTACCTTCTGACTGAGGGGGTAAATGTTTAAATTTCATACTTAACGGTGGAAAAGGAGGATGACAGGCTGTCTCTCTGGAGGGCCAGAGAGTAAAGAGTTTAGGCTTCATGACCCGGAAAGGTCCCTGTGAGCTCTTTCTTCTGCAACCCTTGAGAAATGTAAAATTCGTTCTTGACTTGCAGTATAGGAGAACAGAGGGGCCGACCTTGCTGGCTGGCTGTAGTCCGCTGACCCCTGGACTAAAAACACCTAATTTAGGCTGCCCGGGTGGCTCAGTGGTTGAGCGTCTGCCTTCGGCTCGTGGCCTGATCCCAGGGTCCATGGGGCTCCTCGCGGGGAGACCTCTGCCTAGGTCTCTGCCTTTCTCTATGTGTGTTTCTCACCGATAAATAAAATATTTTAAAAAATAAAAAGTAAAATAAAAACATCTGCTTTGTGTATTGTCCCACAGAGGGGGGCCCCCTTCAGGCTTCTGGACAGTCTGCTGCCTGAACTCAGGAAAGGCCTCCTTGATGCTATCTATGTGCCGAGACCGAAATGAAAGAGACAGACAGGCCTCCTACCCCGAGAAGTCTATTTTGTCTTTTAAAGTTTGACTTAGGGCAGCCCCGGTGGTGCAGCGGTTTGGCGCCGCCTGCGGCCAGGGGTGTGATCCTGGAGACCCGGGATCGAGTCCCACGTCGGGCTCCCTGAATGGAGCCTGCTTCTCCCTCTGCCTGTGTCTCTGCCTCTGTGTGTGTGTGTGTGTCTCATGAATAAACAAGTAAAATAAAATCTTTAAAAAATAATAAGGTTTTATGTACTTATTCATGAGAGATGGGGGTGGGGTGGGGGGAGAGGCAGGCCTCGAGCAGGGAGCCGGATGTGGGACTCCATCCCGGGACTCCAGGATCACACCCTGAGTGGAAGGCAGACACCCAACCACTGAGCCTCCCAGGCGTCCATACTCCGAGAAATCTTAATGGTTTCTGGCAGAGAAAATGGAGCAGCAAATCGTCATGGGTCCAGGACCGGCTCCTGGACTGAAAAAAATTTAAAACATTTAATTTATTTATTCATGAGAGAGAGAGAGAGAGAGAGAGAGAGAGGCGGAGGGAGAAGCAAGGCTCCATGCAGGGAGCCCAATGTTGGACTGGATCCCGGGATTCCAGGATCACACCCTGAGCCAAAGGCAGACGATCAACCACTGAGCCACCCAGGCGTCCCTGAACTGGAATATCTACAAACCCTATAAGGATTTCTTCTCATTTTTTTCTCCTCTGCCAGCAGAGTGTACCCGGGACTGAGGGATGCAAGGCATCTGTTTCTGTGCATCCTGTCCACCGGTCTAGGAGATACGCTAGGAATCGACACAGAACAGTTGCATACACGACAGAAAATAGGCGAAGTATAGACACTGTGTGCGGGAAGGGGGGAGGGGGGCTCGGGACGGGAGAAAAACACAGGTATGTGCTGACATCTGGCCCCGAGCAACATTACCCGTCTGTCCCCTCGAGTCTCTGCACCAAAGGGCCTGGGGCCACCCGCTCATGGCGCGGACCCTAGGATCCATACGGTCCCTCTGTGCCATCACTCCAAGAGGCAGGATGAGCTGGGGGAACAGGTGCACCAGAGGCCATCAAGAGCCTCAGTCACTCCCGTCACACACACACACACACACACACACACACACACACACACACACGGGTCAGAGAAGAAGGTAAATCCTACAGTGAAACAGTGCAGCACAATGTTTAGGGGCTCCTGCTGTCGGGGCCGGCCAGGAACATCCCCTCCCGAGCCCAGAAAAATTGCTTCCTCTTTATACCTCCGACCACGGAGATAGAGGGAAGCCCAGGGCCCCGCAGGCCTCTTGCGTTCTGGAAGAAACACATTCCACACCTAGACACCGTGCTTGGGCTGACGCCCTGGGTGACGGGGAAGACCCTCAGCTCGGAGGCTGGCCTAGAGCCTAAAAGAGCTCTCAAGCTGAGTCAGGGGCAGCGGGGGCAGCCCCGCGTTTCGGCCCCAGTATCCAGCGGACCCCAGGGTGTTGGTGACAGGGGGTGGGTCCCTGAAGGAAAGAGATGCCCTGTGGAGTATATGGCAAGCCGGGACTGCAGAGGATCACAATGGGGCCCCTCCCTGGGGGTCCTAGAAAGGGCCGCCGGGCCACCGAGGGCAGAGACTTCTCCACCTTCTGAAAAGCAGCTCCCGGCACACTTCTGGGCCTTTGGGGGGAACGAATGTTTGCAGAAGGATAGTCAGGGACCGGGACTCCGGACTGCCCAACGGGCCTGCAGGTCAGGATGTCAGCTGGGTCAGCAGCGGCGGGCCACCCTAGGAGAAGCGTGTGGTGTCGGGATGGAACCCGAGCAGGAATAAGAGACACGGGACAGCCAGCCAACCCGTTGGCCCCGCAGGCCTTTGTTGGCCACCCCAGACCTGGCAATATGGGCATGGGAACCGTGGAGCCACAGGGGTGTCCGGGGAGGTCCCACACCGGCAGGTGCTCCTTGGCTGGGGCTCTCAGTCCTGAGCTCCTGGGGGTACTGGGGCCGGGATGCGGGGATGCGGAGCTCCTCTGGCCTGCCGCCCTTGTTCCCAGAAACCTCCCTGGGACTGGCCCAGCCTCTGTCAGATCCCGTGGGGCCCTGAGGTTCTCCAGGCTCACACCTGCCTCCCCCGCCCCTTTCAAAGCAC